AGCAAGGGAACAAGAGCTGGGAGCACCCCGTCAGAGCCTGCAGCCCCTGGGGAGCCTCCTAAGTCCTCCCCGCCAACAGCGATGGCTTTCCTCTATGTAGACACCTAAGGTTTCGTTTGCACCTCAATTTTAACACCTTTCACAACTTTGATACTTTCTGGGCTGTGAGGGCCCAGTTTATGCCTAACCCTGTCCCATGCCCCTTGCTTTAGGATTTGCCCAGGGGAGGCGCGAAGGAAGTGCGACTGCTCAGGGCCCGGAGCCGCACTTGGTCACTGGGGTCTGCACATGTCTGAGGGTGATGACCACCGAGTTCAGTGACAGTGATTTCTAAATCTAAATTGGGGCACTGGGTTCAGCAAATTTAGGACAGTGGTGGCGAAATCGCTGAGGGACTTTTGGAAATCACTTCAGCCATCTGGGGTTCCAGTTTCCAAGGGCACCTACAGGCAGCAGGAAACCGAGAGGGATTGTGGGGGCCCAATCTAGCTGGGGGCCAGATGTCTACCCCAGCTCAGCCTGTGAGGCTGGGGGTCCTGGGCTACTTGCATCCTCTCTGTCTCCCGCCTGCCCCCAGGCCAGGTCACCAGGCCTCCCTCTTTGTAGGTCAATCTGTCTGCTCTCAGCTCTGCCCCTCTGACTCAACAACTTCCTCTTTGCAAATTTCCTCTTTGCCCTGGGGAAATACCAGCTGCTCTGGCCCACGTGGCCTCGGACTCCAGCCTGGACTGGTTTCTGAGACGGGTACTCTTGAGTCTTGTCTCCTTCTCTCCACCCGGAGCCACAGGGGAAGCCCCAGTTCTGTCACCCTCCTAAGTTTTCTCACCCTCACTCATTGCCCCTGGAAAAGGGAAGGAGCTACCCGGAACAGACACACAGCAACCAGGGCCTCAGCCAGGCCCCGCTCACTCTCAGGGCTCCTGTCCCCCTGCCCCAGGGGTGTGGGGAGGCGGGCAGGAAGGGAGATAGCTGAAGAGCCCAAGAGTCACCCTCGGTCACACAGGCCGTCTTTCTGTCAAGCCTGGAACTCTTGCCGGGGCTACAGATGGAGTTAAATCATCTGCCACCTCCACGCCATCTGAGCGAAGATGAGTGCATATGCTCTCAGCAGACCCTGCGTCTCCCACGCTCGGGCTGGCACCTCAGCTCTGTGCCCTGCCACCTCCCCCGTGCTGCCGTGCCCACCACTGCCCTTCACAGTCACATCCAAATCCCCCTCCTGGACAGAAGCCTTAAGCAGGAATGGACCCACACGGGAGGGCCAGGGGCTGCCAGTGACTTCTCACCTCTGCCCTTGGCGGGTGAAGCAGCTAAAGCCTCCGGCTGCCTCTGTCTACTGTTTGGGGAGAAGCGGTGGCTTGGGCACAGCAGAGCGCACACCCAGCCTGAACCCGGACGGCCCCAGAATCACCTGGCCCACAGGGCAGGCCTGTAGGACAGTTCTAATCTACAGGATTAGAACACTATAAAATCTATAGTGCACTCTCCAGAGGAATCCTAGCAGGGAGTTTGCTAGGTTGTCATTTCCTTCTTCCCAGACTCTAACATCCCTGGGAAATCCTCTGAGAAATCGTAGGTCAGGAGAGGTCAGAAATTGCATGTTCAATAACTGGCTTCAGGACAAAAAAAAAAAAAAAGAAAAAAAGAAAAGAAAGAAAGAAAAAAAGAAACTGGAGAATAAGGTGATGGGAAGAAGTAGGGGTCAGTGAGAAAGGTTTATTCATTCAACCTACAAGCACTCAGTGGGAGGGGTGTGGGTGCAGGTGCCGGAAAAAGATGTTGGGTACAGCTCCTATGGGTACTGGGTGCAGATGCTGGGTGTGATTGCTCGGGTGGGTGCTGGCTGGAAAGTTCAGGGTTAAGATGAAAAGTCAGGAGGGGGATGCCGGCAACCACTGGATGACCTTGAGGTTGGAACCGATGAGCCTGCTGAAAGCCACTGCCCACCTCTCCTGTGGGACCCGTCAGAACAGGGCCTACACCGTCCCCTCCTCAGCCTCCTCCTCGCTGTCCACCAGCGGCTCCACCTCCCCTTTCAACCCGGGGGCTGACCCAGCCTTTAACTCCTCCAGCACCAAGGAGCCCTGGCGAGATTTCCGCCTGCCAAAGAAAGTGGTGAGGGTGGGGCGCCGCACAGGCCCCTCTTCCACAGGCTCCCCAGAGCTCTGGTCACCCCCAGCCACTCCCGCCGAGGCACTCCCAGCCTCCTCCTCTGGCATGGACACCGGCCCAGCCCAGGCGTCCACCACCCCGTTGCGCTTGCCCACCCTGTGGAGTGTCACGGCCCCTGTCCTCCTCTGCTGCCGCCAGCGCCACAGCTTGAGCAGTACCACCAAGGCAATGACCACCAGGGCCATGAACAAAAGCAGAAACAGGGTACTCTTCGCCCTCAGATCAGGCTTGGTCTTGGGGGTGGATTTACTACTTATGTTTGATGAGGTCTTTGAGGGAGTCACAGGGGACATTTTTACCCAAGAGGTGGGGGAGCCAGTGATCCCCGTGGAGGACACCTCAAAGCTGGCTGTCACGGTGACAAGGGATCCACTGGTTCCATTGGAGGTGTCCAGAGAACTAGTTGCCATGGTGACAAGGGGTCCGCTAATCCCGCTGGAGGTGTCTGGAGAGCTGGTTGCCATGGTGACAGGAGGGCTGCTGGCCCCATTAGTGGGCTCCAAAGAGCTAGTTGTCTTGACAGTAGGGGATCCACTGGTCCCATGGGTGGGTTCCAGAGAGGTAGTTACTGTGGCTTTAGCAGTCACAGTGTGGAGATCCAGAGAGTCTGTTGCTATGGAGACAGCAGTGTTATTGGTTGGCTCAGAGATTTCCAGGACTGCTATTGATTTGGTGGAAATTTCCTGGGGTGTTGTTGACACAGATGCAGAGACGTCAACATCAGTGGAAGTCCCGGGAGAGGCCTTGTCAGCCCCCGTATTGAGAGTTGAAGGAGGTGGGTTCCGGGTGACCTGGCTCCTGAGACTGTCTTTATCCTCAGAACCCCTTGTTAATGCAAAGCTGGAGGTCACTGAATTGAGGTTTGAGGTCTCAGATTTCTCTGAGACCAAAGAATCAGAGCTCCCATTGAGTGTGGATGTAGGCTGAAGGGTCTCCGGAAATGCTGATGGCCCTTGGGCCCAGGAGCCCAAGGAGAGAAGGAGAAGCAGGGTCACTTCCATGACAAGAGGCCCGAGCAGGAGGCCTGGGAGGGAGAGCATTGAAGAACATAAATCAACACAAAGATCTGGTGAGGACCTGGCCAGGCCCAACCTCCAGCCCACTTCCCTGCCAACTGCCGGGTCTAACTTGCGGCCTAACGGCTTTTTCCACCCTTGCTTTTGCTATTATCAGAAACAGCAAGGGAACAAGAGCTGGGAGCACCCCGTCAGCTACCCCATACCTGCAGCTCCAGGACACAGCAGCGGACTCCAGCTGCAGTGGGACCTCTTGGCCATCCCTGGCTTTTTCCAGCACCAGTGGCTCCTGGTACTCTTCTTTTCACTTGAGGTTTGGGTCCTTTCAAGCCGCAAGCATTCCCAGGCCCACTGAGGCTCCTGCCCCACCCATCACCCTTCCTTACCAGCTCACTTGATAAGGGCCAGGCAGCTCCTACTCCTGAACTGGGGCAGCAGCTGGGTAGGCCCCAAAGGGAAGTAGCTCCACCACCCCGCCCCCCACCCAGCATCCTGCCCCACCCACCTGTCTCAACTGCTGCTATGAGTGTGAATAGAGCACCTCCTTGTGCTCTCTGGAGTCTGAGAAGGTGCCAGGACGCTGGGTCTCAGCTAGGGCAGGTAGGGGTGCAGGAGTCTGGGAGGATTCCTGGGCGGCAGTGAGGAGGTGGCAAGGGGTGAAGCGGGCTAGGGATGAGGTTAGAGCTGAGGCGATGGGAGTCCATGCTTGTGAACAGAGGAAGAGATGGGAGGGAGGTGTTTCATTGCAGCTGTAGTCCCCAACTGGTAGGCCAGGACCCAGACATTTCCTGTGTTCGAGTTACTAGGCAGCACCACACCGAGGGCAGCCCCAAGTCTGACTGGGAAGGTACTGACTGAAGGTCGCAGGTAGGTGCCAGGTGAGCTCATCCCCACTTCTCTAGCTGGAGGGGGACTCACACTTCTGACCCCCCCACAAGTTGTGGATTATTTAACAAAATCAAGGTGGTGGTCCCAAAGCATTGGATATGGGCCCTCCCTGGTGGCGCAGCGGGTTAAGTCACAGCACTGAGAAGCTGAGGCCCCTTCCGCATGAGTTCGATTCCCGCCTGCCCCGGAGGTGACCACATGGTGCGGCAGACCTCTCCTGACCCGCCCGCTGCTCCCCTCAGCAGTGTACTTCCTCAGTCGGCCTGTTCTGCTCCCCGCTCTGTCTCTGGTGAAGCTTCTCGCTGATCCTGAGCCTCTGGCCTGTACCCCAGTTCTGTATGCACAAATAAATAAATCTTTTAAAAAAAAAAAGAGATGGATTTAAGAAATCAAAATGAATTAAAAAAAAAAAAAGCATTGGATATGCTCTGAACTTATTTGTTTAGAAGACTAATAAAGATGTGGACTCTGGAAAATCCCCAGAGGTATTAACTGTGTTTCTTAGGACAAGTATGAGTGGGGGAGGGGACCCTATTTTTTTTTTCTATAGTTGCATTTTCTGACTTCCCTCTAATTAGCAAGCTCTGGCTTTTGGTATGTGTATGTTTTTGCTTGGGGGGGGGGCGCAGTTGAGAGGAAGGGGCTGCTTTTTCTTTTCTTTCTTATAAGATTTATTTTACTTATTTATGCATACAAGAACTGGGGTGTAGGCCAGACATGGGGGAGGGTGAGAGGATTCACCAGAGACTGAGTGGGGAGCAGAACAGGCAGATTGGCTGCTGAGGGGAGCAACAGGAGAGACAGGAGAGGTCTGTTGCGGCCTTGGGGGTCAGCTCCCTGGCCAGGATCCAATTCCGGTCAGGCTGCAGTAGCTACAGATAGCTCGACAGCATTGAAACTTAACTCCTTGCGCCACCAGGGAGGCCCTGCAGTTGCTTTTCTTTAAAAAAGAAAAAGAAACCAAGCTGACTTCTATACTGTAAAAGTAATACTTGTGTGTGTCAGGTGATTGAAACAGGCCATTGTCAGAGTCAGGGTTTCACCCATTCAAGCTAGCGAGTTAGTTTGACCCAAGATGAGTCGCTCCTGGGCCAAAGGCATGGGAATCCTTCTCAGCACACAGTAGCAGCAGGATCTTCCTGTTGAACTTGTCCCCAGCACGGGCTGGGAAGATGGCCTCTTCAAGCGCACGCTAAGCAAGCCTGCCTCTGTCCCAGAAGAGATGTGGCTTCATCCTTCAGAGTTGCTCACTATAAGCGCCACCCTGAGAAATGGCCTGGCTCAAGCGACCAGGACCTGGCATTCCTGGCAGACCGACTAGGATGTGCCCTCTTGCACCTACAGGGCATCGCCTCACCCAGCAGCCAGGGGGATAGAACATAAAAGGTCTCGATACCACCATCACCAGGTAGACAGTGTAGCAAGGGCTGTGTTTATATGAGCACATATGAATTTTTGTTATATTTGATTTTGTTAGGTATACTTTTCTATATTTTTCTTTTTTTACTGAACAAATAAAAAGAGAAAAGGAAATAAAGGAAGAAAAAAGAAATGAAGGAGGGAAGGAACAAAGGGAGAGAAAACATTCCACTGTCAGACTTAGGTGGTTTCAACATTTTGCAATTGCAAACAGGGGCCTCCCCAGATTGCACAGGGGCCTTGCCAGGTGGTACAAGGGATTAAAGCACAGCACTACAAAGCTAGCCGTAGCCACTGCAACACGAGTTCAAACCACAGCCAGGGAGGTGACCCACAGGGCGCAGGAAACTTCTGTCTTGCCTACTGCTCCCTTCAGCAATGTATTTCGTCCAATACACCTGTTTTGTTCCCCAAAACAGGTAAATCTGTGTCTGGTGAATCCTCTCACCGCCCCCCAACACCTCTGGTCTGTACCCTGGTTCTTGTATGCATAAATAAATAAATCTATTTTTCTTAAAGGTGGAAATCATTGATAGCAAAGTAATCTTTGCAATTCTAAATTCTAAAAAGTGAACAGAAAGATTTATAAGGCTACATCAAGATTCCCAATTTCCCAATCTGTGTGTTCCCAGGCTCTGTGCCAAACTCCTTCTGCTGGTGGAGCTAGAGGACATGAACTCGCCCAGTTCTCCTGAAGTAATTGGAACTAGGGTCTGCCCACCACATTCTGTGGACCTCGGGGTGAATGGGGAGATGACGAAAGTATGAACAAGGGTGGGCATTGTCCTTAAGACATCACAGAAATGCAGTCACAGGAAACTCTGGAAGCAGGAGGCAGGGAGTGACACTCACTGTTTACCAAGTACAGAACCAAAGATTCTCTGTGCATGATTCCAGCCCATCAACATGAGCCCATTTTACAGATGAGGAAGTTGAGGTACAGATACGTTAAATCACCTATACTGGGCCTGTAGAATGGGCCGTGCTCAGCGCAGCACTTACACTTATATAACCTTCACTCTTCATACACCTAACAAATGGCTAGGTTGGGTAGGAGACTGACCCAGGTTAAGACAAGCAGTAAAAAAATACTAGAGGTGAGCTTCAAAACTAGGTTGGTAGAAAAAACAAAAAACAGGCTGGTCTAGAGGCCCAAGCCCACAGATAAAGATCTCTAAGGTAGTAAAGGCCTGACAGTTACTATGCTGCACTTAGAGCCTGCTAGCCTATAAGTAGTCAAGTAATAGAATTCTGCTAAAAAGGGACTAGATCCAGCCTTAGAGAATGTTGAGGAAGATTTCAGAGAAAGCTGTCTTTTTTTTTTTTAAAGATGTGTTTATTTATGCATACAGAACTGGGGTACAGGCCAGAGGTGCAGGGGTGGCAAGAGGATTCAACAGAGACAGAGGGGAGCAGCGGGCCGGTCAGGAGCGGTCTGCTGCGCCATGGGGGTCACCTCCAGGGCGGGGATCGAACTCATGCTGCAGTGGCTTTAGCTTCTTAGTGCTGTGTTTAACCTGCTGTACCACCAGGGAGGGCCCCATCATTTGGAGTTTAAGGTACCTCCCCACAAGATATATATGCAGGGCCTCCCTGGAGGCCTAAGGATTAGTCTCAGAGCTATCACTGCTACTGGGTGAGTTCAATCCCCGACCAGGGAGCTGACCCACATGGCACAGCAGACCTCCTCTGACCCACCCGCTGCTCCCCTCAGTACATCTGCCTGTTCTGCTCCCCATCCTGCCTCCACACCTCTAGCCTGTACCCCAGTTCTGTAAGCTTAAATAAATAAATCTTTTTTAAAAAAAAAAAAAAGGATTTATCATCAGTAGTAATACTCCTCCCTCTCCCCTCCCAAGTCATGGTCCCGCAAAGGCAAAGGCACCATTTTAATCCTTTGCATTTATCCTAGTCAGGGTCCTTTCGCTGGGTCCCACACATGCCCTGCTAACCCTGCTGGGCCTCTCACCCATCTGCCTGCCGTATCTGATGGCTTCCCGTCTAGTAGTGGAGCATGTCACCCACTGGCCTAATCCCTGTCTGTATCAGTTACATCCCTCTTTAGGTCACCAAAGCTGCTTCTGTCTCTTTAAATAAGCTCTCTGAGGTGAATTTTATGTTGTCAGGCACAGCCACAAAGTGGTTCAAGAAATTTACTCTGGGGCCAGACTTCCTGGGCAGACCCAGGCTCAGCCACTGAGAGTATGTGATCCTGGACAACAGGTGTAAACTTTCTGTATCTCAGCTCTCTCCTCTGTGATAAGAGGTGGCCTCATCCTGGGGATTGCAGGAACGGGGCACGCAAGCACAGGGAACAGCACCTGAGCGTCCCAAAGGCCAAGACCAGATATCAGAAAGACATTCATGGTTGTCACTTAACGGCTTCCTTTCCTTTGCTGCCCAATTTCCGTTATATGTACACTGACTTTTTTAAAAAAAGATTTATTTATTGATGTATACAGAACTGGGGTACAGGCCAGAGGTGCAGGGCGGTGAGAGGATTCGCAGAGACAGAGTGGAGAGCACAACAGGCAGATCAATGAAGACTGCTGAGGGGAGCAGCAGGCATGACAGGAGAGGTCTGCTGCGCCATGTGGGTCAGCTCCAGGGCTGGGGATCGAACTCGCACTGAAGCGGCTGAAATGAGTTTGCAGTGCTGTGCTTTAACCCGCTGTGCTGTACAGTTACTTTTATAGTGCTCAAGGAGATACTACTTGCAATCTTTCCTTTGCATAATACTGCAGCCACTAGCCACAAAAAAATTATAATGAAAAGTCAGAAAGATTTAAATTCAGTTCTTCAGTGCAATCGGCCAGACAGCATTTAAATTGCTCAAGAATCACATGTGAAAGATGACCACTGTGCTGGATGATGAAGTAACAAAAATGAGGGAAAAAATCCAAGCCTAAGTGTCTCACACAGTAACCAAGCCCACATCTGACTGACCTGAAAGGACAATTTACATGTGAATGTAAGAGGACAGCTCATTTAGTCAAAAATAGGAAATATAGTAGTTCCTCACAAAAGACCAGTGTTTTCCTGGCACTCACTTCTAAAATTAATCTTCATGTGAGAACATGAGAATGTTCTCCTGCCGGTTGATGTCCTGA